ACTGAGGAAGAGGACTGGGGAGGAGGGGGCAATCTGGGGCACACAGACCCGTGGGCAACCTGTCCCACGATAGACTTTAGACTCAATCCTCACCCTCCAGGAACTTCAAAATACACACAGACAGAGTGCTATGGACAAGAATTAAAAAACAAAAAAAAACAAACCTGAATCCCTAGCAGGTCTTTTTCCTACCGAGACACAAATGGCTTATGTGTATAATGTTTCACGAAAGCCCTAAAATATTATCACCCCAACTTGACGCATTAAGAAGCTGAGGGAAAGAGGTTTATCACATTGTGCAAGATTAGAGAGAGGCCACAACAGACACCGTATTTAAACCCAAGCCCCTGCTCCAGCACTCACACTAGAAAGTGTGTTATACTGCCCCTTTCCTGCCCTCTCCCTGCAACAAATCTCTGAAGAGTCTTTTCTGTGCCACCTGGAATCACAATCACATCAACTTTCCACAAAGAGCTATGTCACTCCTTGGAGGACGTATCAAAATCTAAAGGGTTGGGATGGGAGGAGAGATTTGCATTTTCTGTTTCTCAAAGGCAACATGGCTTTAAAAGAAACTGAAAAGCATTTATCTAGTCTAAGCCCTCATTATGCAGAGAAGGAAACGGAGGCTCAGAAGAGATGAGGAAAGGGCCTTATTAACAAATATTGCCTCAGTGCAGCACCAAGCCAGCCCGGGGCACTGCTGGGGGAGGATCTGGGAGGCCCAGGAGAATGAGTGTTAGAAAAAGGAAAGAGAAGGAGCATACAAGGCCCTGTCTCTACACCACCATAACATGAAGTTCCACCAAATTATCCAGTATGGTTGCAGCCAACATTAAGGTGGGCTAAACAGGTTATAGAAACCTGGAAGTCTCAACCACAGTGGAAATTCCAAAGTTTACTATGTTTTTTCCCCAGTTGAAGCATCAGCTCAGTGGGCGCTCCGTACCAGGTACTACACGAGGCCTGGAGTTCTCCTAAATACAGATCTCTATTACCACGTGTGCAAACCACATACAGGCCCACCAGAAGAAAAACGCCCACAGATAAGATGGAATTACTGAAACTGAAAGCAGCCAACCAGCATATATTACTAGCAAAAACGGTGCTGCTAGAAATGGACTAATGGACATAGAAAGCAAACTGTGGTTAGCAGGCAGAAAAGGGGGGATTAACAGATGCACATTAATAAATATAAAATAAATGACAAGGATCTACTATATAGCACAGGGAACTATATTCAATTTCTTGTAATGAGTTGTACTAAAAAACAATCTGAAAAACATGTATATACATATGCATATGTTTATAACTGAATCTCAGCTGTACACCTGAAACTAACATTGTAAACTGATTACACGTCAATAAAAAATAATTTTAAAAAATAAGTAAAAATAAAAGCAATGCCATTAAAAAAAAAAAAAAACTGTAATCCTCTTAGCTGTAGGTGGTGGAGAAATCTGGTTGCAAGCACCAAGTCCACTGGATTACTTCAGCATTGGCTGTCACTCTTTCTGACCATCACAGAGTCACTTGGCTTCACTGAGGTTACTTTTCTCTTCTGTGAAAGGCTACAGTTGCAACTAAAGATGTACAGAATCTCATCATTCACAAACTCAACAATTAATGAGGACTTCCCATGGGCCAGGCTCTGGACAGAAGAAAAGATAGGGTTCCAGATATATTCATGGGTAGAAAAGTTTATGCCATAAAGACATTAATTCTTCCTGTTAGACAGATTCAATGCAATTCTGATTAGAATTCCTACCAGATTTTTCATGGAATGTAACAAGTTAATTTATGGTCAGGAACAGCCAAGAAAATTCTTTAGAACCACCTCTGGGGAAGGGTGAATAGGTCATTCATTTCCACTGTTCTTTCTGAAGTGATGAAAACGTTCTGGAATAATAATGGTTGCACCACTGTGAATGTGCTAAAAGGTGCTGAATTGTACCATTTAAATTGGTGGACTTCACAGTGTATGAACAATATCACAATAAAGCTGTTATATGATAAAATATTTCTTGACAATTATTTTTCCCTCTATACAACTAGTCTGCCCCACAATTTAAGAAAGACAAAAAATCCAAACAAACCAAAGTTTGCCAGGAGCTCTTTAGGACTGCAATGTCCCTGCATCTCCAACGCCTCTGGTGGCGCTGTTCCTGGTAACACACACTAGCTGGGCTGGACTAGTTAGGGACTGTAACTATCTTTTTAAAATCGACGGTCACACGTTTCACCCTGGGAGAGGGAAAGATGGAGGATGTCACAGCCTCATGCCTTCAGCTCATTTTTAACT